TGCACTGATGCAACCGACATGAGCGTCGAATTCGCAAGGGACGCATCGATAGAGCCACTGGTTCTTTCCGATCTTGAGGCAGATATCGCATGAGAAACCTTTATTATCTCCATAAGGGGAGTGAAATGCGAGTTGAAGGTTGTGTTGCGGATGAGACTGGTGGACGATCGAGACCGGTTTATACGCGCAAAGGGCGTGAATGTCGAAGTCGCAGCGAGAGCATTGATAGCTAAAACCAGTTCCAATGATGCCACAACCGTCGCAGTTGAAGTATCCACCTTCGTAGACAGGAGCCACAAGAAGGCTAAGCGTATGAGCAGGGTGAGATGGATGTGTAATTATCTGCTTCATCTTGCTACACGTCTCGTGGAGAGAGAAGTTGCATGGCCTGCATGAGTAATTCCGGCCGTTGCCTCCGGCGAGTTTGCAGGCGGAGCATGGTGGTGATGACGTCCCCGGGGTTAATTGAAGGCGGTGTGGGTGGCTAAAGTGGTTTATAAAGTTATTGTTTTGGGTCGTTGGCTTCCCCATTTTCTTTTTCTGTGTGTTTTGGGTAAATGGGATTCTTTCGAGGAACACAACTCAAGAGTTAATAGAGACAATAGGGTTGACTTTCGTATTAATAAAAGAGGGCTTAGTCAGTCAACGGTAGCGTTCGTTGCACGTCTCTCCATGAGAAATAGTAACACATGACATGGGAGAAGAAGAATAATAGACATTGACTTTAACTAGTTGCACTTTCTAATTATGTGTGGTGCTTCTTACCTTTCTTTTGTATTGAAAATGCATATATAGTTGTATCTTTTTAAAAGAAATATAGGTGTATATAATGTATTTGTATAAAACAAGAGGGTATATTTGATATCTATTCTTATATTGACCAAAGAGAGTTGGATTGCAATGCTTATCTTTTCAAACTTGGACGTTGTCTTCCTAAATACATTGTTTATATCTTTTATTTTCTTTTCTTAACAACAACATTGAATATATCTTAATCTTATCACACTATATACATGTACAGTTGTATGCACTAGATTATCATGATTCATGAATGAACCAATAGCTGATCTTGGGAGGATTTCCCGACGTCCATAAAAGCCCAATGGTTCCATCCATGTTATGATAATCTAGTCAAAATGAATTT